CAGGGAGCTGGATACTGCTCCCTACCTGCCCTGTGACCTCCTGCCCTCTTAACTCTCCTCACTGCTATCCCTGGGCCTAGGGGCTGCTCCCCCAGCCCCTCTGTGGCCACAAGGCAGGAGCTGGAAAGCAGCCGTGCTGTGAGACAGGAACTCCTGCCACCGCAGTGAGGCCTGGCCTGGCCCAGTGAGGGACAGCCGTGACCGCCAGGCCCTCCCGCGGCCCCAGGGCTGAGCCGAGCCAGGCCGAGCCAAGTCTGCAGCTACACTGCTGGGACGAGCGGGGTGCGCCCTCCCCACCTGTGCCCGGCTGCCACTTCCTGTCCCTGGCCAGGGGCTGCAGGTTAACTGCATGCTACTTCCTTTCAGGCCAACCTCGGACAAAGAACCTGCGTGGCCAAGCGTGCGTTCTCGCCTGCACCCTTGAGGGCGAGCAAGGAGCAGCCGTCCTGGACACAAGGGGTGAGCAGCCTTCATCCTGTGGCGGCTGCGTGAGGCTGAACTGCAGCCAGGGTGGGAGTGGGAAGGAGACCTGGGGCTGAGGATTGGGGCGCGGCTGAGCCCCCACGGTCACTGGTTCCCCCTTCCTCTCGGAAACACCCAAGCTCTGATGACTGAGTGGTGTCGTCACCTGCTCTGGGTGCACCTGCTCTGGCCATTCCCTCCCCTGAACAAGGCCTCCCTTATGCCTTATCTACACTTATCGCTGCCAGCCCCTCCCCCAGCCCCCTGCAGGACAAAGTTCAAGCCCTACAGCCTGGCCCACTGGTCTCCTCTCCAACCCTCCCAAGGCTTGAGTCATCCCCTATGCACCTCCCAGGAGGGCTGGGGCAGGAGAGGCAGGGACGATTCCCTAGGGAAGGGGCCCCTGGGCCAAAGGACAGCTTGTGCAAAGGCACTGAGGTGGGCAAGAGTCGGCCTGTGGCAGGCAGGGCCAGTGTGGCCAGGAAGGGACACAGTGAGGCTGGGTCAGTGGCTGCAGTGAGAGCGTGGCACCGTCCTGGCCAGGGCACACTGCACAGATCGGATCTGTGTTTTCCCGACTCACCACTCTCGGGGCCGAGAGGGTAGCTCCTGCGTTGCCGTGGGCCTCGCCCACCACCGGGGAGCTCAGCACCAGGGAGTCGCCATGGAGGAGGCTGCCCCTGTGGACAGCGCTCAGGCTGACCAACACCCGGGGAACATGGAGGGATGATTAACGTCCTCACAGCTGAACGAGACAGGAGGGAGAAGAATCGGTCGGGGGCAGTGAGGTCCACGTGCTTTGTGGGCCACAGCCACTGTCCCCCGCCAGGAGATACGAGGACAGAAAGAGAGCTGCACCCACCCACGCCTGCAGCCACGCCCGACCCAGGTGGCCTGGGTGCCCCGACGAGAAGGTTCCTGTGCCATCCCCGTCCCCCAAGGAAGCATGAGGCCTGCAGGCCCTCAGCACAGGGCACAGACCCTCCCACTGCCCCACTCCCCCACGGGCAGGGCCCTGAGGGACCTTTGCCCAAGTCTATTTGCTGATAACCAAATCTCGGGCAGAGCCACCATGGCACCAGGCTGCTGGCCCCACGTGATCCTCGGAGCAGAAAAACAACTGAATCATCCCAGCGAGGTCTCCACGCGGAGCCTCTGTGAGGCCAATCAAAAGAAAAAAGCCCAAGGGAGGGGCGGTTTTGATGATACCAGCTTACTGATGGACAGCAGCCCCAGGCCCACGCCCTGCAGCCTGCAGCCAGGGCCTCTCAGCTCCCCGGGGCACCAGGGGCTTCATGGGAGCAGCCCACAGCGGTGGGCTTCAGGGCGGTCAGGAGCAGCTGGGAACTCGTCTTCCCCAACCCGGGGGCCTGGAGACGGCCCTGCAGACGCAACCCCTCTGCGGCACCCACCTGACTACTCCCCTGCCCTCGTCCGTCGGCAGGCAGGTGCTCTGCACACCCAAGCAAGCTCCCCGCTGCCTCTCACTGGGGCATCCCTCTCCCCAAACACCACGGCCTCCTTGTCAACGTCTACAGAGTGAAAACTAAAACAAGATCTGAGAATGAGAGGCACGATCAAGGTCAGGCATCAGCCTCCTGGAGTCCGCGGCCTGGCCCTGAGCCTGCATCTCGCCCCTCGGGGGCGGCGGGCGGATGGCCTCAGTGCTGACAGCACCCTGCCTGGGGGACACGAGGAGCCCCTGCCCCGGCCTTCACCCCAGGGCCCTCACCCTGTGTCTTCTGGTTCTGCCAGCCCCCGCCTGCTCCTCTCTCCCTGGAGCCCCTGCAAAGCGCAGCCTGGCACCCTTTTCCTCAAAGGATTGTTCTTTGACAAAGAAGGAAACCTCGGGGCCCTTATCAGAGATCCGGCTTCTCGCTGCAGCACAGTGGAAACCTAGTCCAGAAATATCGGAGCCGGAGGTCATCGTGAGGTCACTGGCCCTGGCTGGGGGCCGGCTGGGTGTGTGCCCTGGCTGGGACAGACTCAGGGGCCGGGCCCTGACCCTCCCTGGGAAACATACCCAGTCTCAGGCACACACTGCGTGTCTGTAACAGGGGGTGGGGGCAGTAATGGTCGCCGTTCAGCCAGCACCTGCCGTGGCCTCTGTGTGTGTCTGTGGGAGGGGGGAGTGGGAGTGGGAGTGGCCCCTCCCAGGGCACTGGCCCCTCCAGGGCACTGGCCCTTTAGGAAGCTGCAGACCGAGCAGCAGTGGCTGGAACAGGAGTGGCTGTCAGCACTCGCTTGGCCAAGGGCATTTATACACAGGAATTCTGCCCAGCAGCCCACCCACTCCAAGTAGCAGGAACCACCAGCACTCTCGCGAGGCTGGGGGGCGGGGCCATGTGGCTGTGATTTGGGGGCTAGGATCCGCCTCCCAGGCAGCAGCGGGGCAAGGCCGGGGAGAGCAAGTTCCACCTACACAGCTCCAGTCCCACTCAGTCCCCCACCTGCTGGCCATGGTCACGACCCCACCCATCTGCACCTGCTTCCCCACCTGTACAAGGGGGATAATGAGTTCATATCTAACAGGTACTTTAGAACAGGACCTGGCACATTCGCTGCTCTGTAAATGCTATCTGCTGTATAACAGCAATTGTTGCTAGCACTATACATTACCCAGCCTCCCCAGACGCTGTGTGACAGGCTCCCTGCGGGGCCACCTCGCCTGGATCCAGCAGGAGGCGCACCATCCCCACCCCAAAGGTCTATGTGGCAGTCCGGGCTTGGCTGTGCACCCCAGGCAGGGTCACCTGGACACTGCGGGCAGTGAACAGGTCGCTGGGGGCCTCCAGAGGAAACAAGGAAACCGGGGCCATGCAGGGGGGAGGAAGCCCACCGCTCCACCTGGGACCAGTGGGGGCTACGCTTTGGGAGGTGGGAGTGGCAGGGGAATGGAAAAGCAGCAGGGAGCCAGCCCCCATGGGAAACATTTCACCTATGGGTTAAGACCCCGCGTCTCACATCAGAGGGCCTGGGTTCCAGTTCCAGTCCCAGCTTCCTGCTCATGCCCACTCGGGGAGGCAGAAGGTGATGGCTCAAGTAGTTGGCTCCCTGCCACCCACGTGGGAGACCCAGATGGAGTTGCCAGCTCCTGGCTGTAGCCTTGGCCCTGCCCCAGCTTCGGGAATCTGAGGAGTGAACCAGCGGATGCAGCTCCTCTCTCTGGCCCTCTCCCTGCCTGGCAGGTTCTGCTGGAGGGGCTGCAGGATTCAAGGCGGCACACAGGTGAGCACTTATCGGCTGGGCCCTGGCACGAGGCAGGGGCTCAAAGAGCAGTCAGTCCACGGGGCAGATGTTTCCTGCCTGTGTGTGCTCTGAGCCCAGCAGGAACTCGGGCAGGACGACACCAACCTCAGAGCACCAGCCCGTGGAACAGCACGTCTCACAAGTGCATCGAGTGGTTTACTCCTCCCAACACGATGGGAGGTTTTCCTATCACTACCACCCATCCTACAGACAGGAAAACCAAGGCTGCATGAGGAACGGAGGCGCCTGAGCCTGTCTGTCCTATGGCCTCCAGCCTACGGTGGGATCAGACCAGCCAGGGAGCAGCAGGGGCAGCCAGGAGCAGGTTGCAGCTGTAGCAGGGCGGTGCGGGCAGGAAGTGGGAACGTGCAACAGGGCCTCAGCCCAGGAAGCAGGCGGGAGCCATGGACAGCAGCGAGGGAGGCTGGGGCAGCTGACCCGACCTCGGGTAGGCGCAGTGGGGCAGCCCCGCGCGCTGAGGAGCCTGGCTGGCGCCCCTCCGTCCCGATACAGAGAACAGGATGCCAAATGCCCCAGCACCCCACCCAGAACGTGCGAGCTCCGGGCCACCAAGGACGCTGAGAATGTCCACTACGGGGGCTGGGTTTTGCCTCTAGGATAATTGCGCTTTCTGTGGCTCCCAAACTGTCTCCAGAGGAGTCTCCTTCTTGTCCACAAAAGAGAAAACACAGGGCAGGTCGGGGCAGCGACCTGAGCAGATCAGCAGATGACAGGATCACTGCGGGGCCAGGAGGCTGCTGGGGAAACGGTGGGGGGTGGGGTATGCAAGGGGCCTCACAGACATCTCAAGCTGTGCTCACCGGAACGAGCAGCGAGAAGGGTCCACCACTAAGGCAGGGCTCAGCGCCAAGCTCGGGGGTCTTGTTCTCTGGGGGTGAGATAAGGGCTCCGCCGAGGCTGGGACACGGTCTGAGCCCTCCAGGGCTTCAGGTGTTGGAAGCTTGGCCCTCGGCATGGCCACACTGGGGGTGGTGGGACCATTAAGGGGTGGGCACTGCCCTTGGAGGAACGAGTGCTGGGCTGGAGTGACCCCCTGGCTGCTCCCCAGCCCCGCGCGGGGCCTCTGCTGCTCACACAACACTCACTCCAGCCACGGCACCGCCCACTAGGCTGAACCGAGCAGATCCCAGCCTGCAAAACCGCAAGCTAAACAGACCTCTCGTCCGTCCGTCACCCAGCCTCAGTGTTCCACCCTGACGCGGGTCCTGTCGCGGTGCCCACCCGGAGCTCCCGCGCCCGCGGCCCAGCACAGCTCTGCCCCCACTCACCTGGAACCTGTGCACCAGCTCCAGGGACTGGCTGTCATTCTGGTCAGCTTCCAGGATGACATCGGTCAGCTTGTGGATGATGACGTCCAGGGGGCCCTGCTCCTCGATCGGCCGGCTGAGGTTCAGCTGTAAGGCGGGATCAGAGACAAAGGCAACAGCTTCAGTCCCTGGCGCCATGGCCCCCACGTGACGGCCACCCCGGGCGCGCTGCCGAGCCTCCCTACAGTGCTCCGAGAGGGGCCGGCACAGGGCTGCCCCTCCCGGGAAACACACAGAGAGGCGCCCCCAGAGCAGGCCCAGCGTCCGTCCTGTACAACTGGTCCCCAAGCTCCACGCAATGCTCAAAACAGATGCAGAGACAGTGCTCACTGACCGTGCCCAGGAGCCCCGCAGCCCAGGGAAGCCAGAGCTCAGAGAGGGCCGGTGGAGCTATTAAAGTTACACAGCCAGATCGGAACTCAGATCTGCCCTTTCCTGCAGGCTGTGGGCTTGGCGATTCAAGGGGAGACTGGCTGCCGGCACATCTCACTGAAGCCGGGGCTCATGGTGAGCGAGGGAGCCCAGGGCCGTCTCCTCCACTCAGCGAGGCTCGCCCTGCCCGGCTGCGGAATGTGTTTTTATTTTTTCAAGAACACGGGGTTGGGAAGATCAGGCCCCAAGGGAGACAGAGCTGCCAGCTGACTGACAGTCAGCATCACCTGACCCCAAGACAGGAGCACCCGCCAACAGCCAGGGCGGCCTGACACCACGCTTCCTGACCCGCCAGATGCCTGCCATAGGCACACGGCCACCATTACCTGCACGGCGCCAGCTCGGCACCTGGCTGACCCCCCACCCGGCCTCAGCTGAGGGCAGAGAAAGCCAGGAGCCCCACCCTGCCTCTGTCCCCACCCCTAAGTGGGGGCTCCCTCCAGGATCCGAGCGTGCCCACGGGGGGAGTGGAGACATCAGGATAACAGCTACAGAGGAGCCTTCCAAGCGAGCACTGCGCTTGGAGCTTACGTGCACTTTTGCTTTGTTTTCCATTTTACTTTCCACCAATACGAGAAGTGATTTTTACAAACGAGGAAGCAGAACATGGAGACTCTTGAAACCTGCTCAGGGCCTCCAGGGGAAGACGCACCGGGGCAGGGATGCACCTGGGATCGAAGGCTGAGCCCGCCACGCAGGGCCCCTCCCGGTCTCTGCCTCCTGCCTGCGCCGGCCCCCAGGAGGCTGCCGTCCACAGCCACAGCCCAGCCACCCGGCGGTCTCGTCCTCAGGCCGATGCAGGCCAACTGCAGGCAGGAGCAAAGACGGGAGAGGTGGGGAGCGAAGAGACCCGAGGCCTGGGTTGTATTTCTGGAAGCAGTCCTAGCCTCTCTCCAGGCCTGCAGCTCCAGTTACGTTTTCGGTCCCCTGTCCTCGCAGGCAACACTGCCACGCTTATTTGCCCTGGGATAGTGGTCTCTTAGACCCGGTCGTGCCCTGTAACAATCCTTCCAGTTAAGCCTAAGGAATGTGCCAGCTCATTTTGCCGACGTCTTAACTCCTCTTTTCACTGTCTGCCAGCAAAGAAGTTACGGGATTTCCCCTATTTAGGAGAAAAAAAAAAGTCCCTTGACCTCAGGATAAGAAAACACTGAAGAATCTCTTGCCCTCTCCATGGTGACAACCAGCCTGTGCAGAGCAAAACCACCCAACGGCAGCCGGCCCCCTCCTCCAGGGCACCTCCAAGCATCTGCACAGCCCTGGCGCGCGCCCATCCCCACGCGAGCCCAGGTGCCGGGGTGACCCTCCCACCTCCATGGACCACCACACCCAGAGCCCTGGAAGGAAAAACCGCCACCGTGCAAGGCAGGGGAAAGTGGCCGGAGGCCAGGCAGCAAGGCTCCCTGCTGAGCCACCAGCTGGCCCATCATGCCCCAGGCCTCGGTTTCCCTTGCGATAAAAAGAGGAGACCGTAGCAGCCTTGCTGGCTCTGCTGGCGGATTCCACAGCGCCCCCCACCTGACCCCTCCCCCCAGAAAACGCAGACTTTGAGGGGAGGGGGAGCCGGTGGGAGGCGATGACACCCTCTGTAGATAGCAACTCTCTTCTGTGGGAACCCGTGGCTCCGCCGAGACAGGTAACACAAACAGGACCAGACCAGGTACACATGGAGAGAGCTGGGCCATGGGAGTCATGCCAGGCAGGCACCCGGGGCCTGGCAGAACTGCCCTGGCCACTGTCACGCGTACGCCATGAACCTGCTGGCCGCCTGCAGTGCCGGAGCGCACAGGTCGGCCCAGAAGGAGCCACGGGGTCCCTGTGGGGTCGGGGAAGGTGGTGGGCAGCGGGGATGCCCCAGCATCCTCGGCTGGCAGCAGCCCCCGGCCTGAGACCTGACGACCATGGGCTGTGTGGAAGATAAGCTCTGCGCGGCCCTGGCCGCTGCACCGAAGGTAAACAGTGGAGTCCTGGCAGCCAGCCACCTGCTTTGTGTATTTTCCAGGCATTTTCTGCCAGTAAAAAACCCGCACACAAGAACAGCAACTCGGACAGGCCGGGCCTGGGCGTGCAGCACCCACATCTCTGCCGGCGGCCAGCAGCCCCAGTGCTGCCCTGGCGGGGGGGGTCCCTGATGACGCTCAGAGGGGCTTCAGCCTCTCCCTGCTGCCTGGAGAGGAGGAGATGCCTCCTGGGGGAGGGGCCCTGAGACCGCGGATGCCTCAGGGGAGGGGAGCCTGCCAGGGAAGGGATGCCACGGAGCCACGGTCTCCCGGAGCGGCTGTAATGGAGGGGACTCCCTCCGTCACTTGGCTGTCATTCTGTTGCTCTGACCCCACCCTGCCCCCACTCCCAGAGCCTCCCCATTCTCTTGCGTGGTCCCTCTCGTGGTGGGGACTGGGGCCATCTCCCCGACAGGGTGGCCTGCTGCGGCCGGGGGAGGTCGTGGTGCTCACGATCCAACTCCCACCATCCAGTGCGGTGCTCAGAGCAAACAAGGGGCCAGTGTTTGCTGGTGACTAAGACGGCGAGGCTCACATGGGCCGGGGGCAGGGCTGGCAGGAGACCGGCCCAAGAGTCACCTCTGACTTGCAGAATGGTCAACTGAGGATGCCCAGCCCTGACATGGGGCCCACATCCCCCAGCACCCAGAGTGAGGGTTGGCAAGGAAAACAGGCCTGGAAGCCCACCCGGGCTCAGCTGCTCCTGGGCAGGGGCAGGTCACTCCACCGTGCTGGACCTGTTTCCCCTTTCATAAAGTAAGGGTACTATGACTTCTTCTCCATGCCTCGCGGGTGCCTGGGCCCAGAGCAGCCCTCGTCCTTACCACCCCACAAGGGGCACCTGTGACTCCCTGGGACTGGTTATGAAGCCGGTTCTCTACCCCGCTGTCTCCAAGGCCCAGGGCTGCTCATCCTCTCGGGCCTTGGGGTGCCTCGGTCTTCCTAGGATCGTGGAGGCCTGGGCTCTCTGAAGAGGCAGACAGGCTCAAAAGCTGTGGCTGCGGCCAGAGCGGGAGTGAGACAGGTGTAAGGGCAGGCACTGCCGCTCGGAACGCAAAAGCATCCTGGTGGCCCCAGCGCCGGGCCACGGCTCCTGCCTGCTCTGCACCAGGCACCGTGGTCGAAGAATGTGCTGTGGTCCCACAGCTCGGCGCTCAGCCCTCGGCGGACGCTAGCCTGCGCCTGCGCTCTGCACACGCGGCCCCGACCGTGTCACTGGCAGCCCCGCACAGGCCAGTGTGTGAACGGCACAGAGCCTGGGTCCTATCAGACTCTGCCAAAGTGTCTGCTGCGGCACGAAAATGCACTGTCACTCTTGATGACGAAAACCAGCCCTCGCCAAGTTCCTGCCGGGGCCACGTCCTACGCTGACAGCCGGCCAGGGGTTCGGAAACGTGCCCAAGGTCACAGAGTTATGGCTGCATGGCACTCAAGGCCCCTTCCTGCCAATGCCAGACGGTTAACCTCTACGCTAGAAGGCAGCCTGGGGGCCTGGGGCTTGTCTTCCGCACCCTTCCCCCACCCCCCAGACGCAGTCTGTCCTCAGTGGCGTTTTCAGCTGTGACTTCAAAGGGAAGCTTCAGATCAACCAAGGACGCACCCGAAACGGCCCGGGGGAACGACGAGGGGGCTCAGGGCTGGCTGATCCCTGGGCGCTCCCACAGTCTGGGGCACACAGGCAGACTTCAAGCGGGCGCGTGGCCTCAGAGGACTCGGGCCCGGTGTGCTTTTTTTTTTTTTTTTTTTTTTGACAGGCAGAGTGGACAGTGAGAGAGAGAGAGACAGAGAGAAAGGTCTTCCTTTGCCGTTGGTTCACCCTCCAATGGCTGCTGTGGCCAGCACACTGCAGCCGGCGCACCGCGCTGATCCGAAGGCAGGAGCCAGGTGCTTCTCCTGGTCTCCCATGGGGTGCAGGACCCAAGCACTTGGGCCATCCTCCACTGCACTCCCTGGCCACAGCAGAGAGCTGGCCTGGAAGAGCGGCAACCAGGACAGAATCTGGCGCCCCGACCGGGACTAGAACCCGGTGTGTCGGTGCTGCAGGCGGAAGATTAGCCTAGTGAGCCCCAGCGCCGGCCCGGTGGTGTGCTTTTTCAATGGGCATGTGTCCCGAGGGGCACCCCGTGTCCTTCCGCGGGGGTCAGGAGCTGGAGGTCACTTGGGGCTGCCACCAAGGCCAGCAGGTTGAGCCAAGGACCTCGCCCCAGGCCAGGGAAGGAATTATTGCAAATGCTCCCTGAGCCAATTCCTCAATTTCTCGGTAACTGGTTTCCAGCCGCTGGGGCAATGGAAGAAACAGCAAACTGGTCAGAGCAGGACAGTGACCAACCTCTCACCCCAAAAAGGGGAGGGCGGAGACCGCTGAGAGTCTGAGGACCCCAGCGCTGCGCCCCCCACCCCCGGTTCTCAGGGACTAAGGAAACCCTGGCCTGTGCCCAGCAACGGCGAAGCAGGTTCAAGAGCAGATTATGAGGATAAACACGCCCACGCCCTTTGACCCAGAAAGTCCACTCCTGGGCGGCTGGCCAAGGAAATGATTTCCAGGATGAAAGCCAAAGCTGACTTGGGGACAGTCACAGACACAGGACACCTGTGCAGGGACAGGTGCCGCTCCCGGGCCAGGGCCACACACACCACGGGGGATGAGCATTCAAG